CCCCCAGCCTGCCCCGCAACCCTGGCCCCCCAGCCCCCCGCCAGCCCCTCACCATGCTCTGCAGCTCGGGCGGCTGCACAGTCAGGCGACACGGGAAGATGACAGCCGAGACCTCTGCCCGGCGCAGGGGCAGCAGCGTCCGCTTGTGCTGGGGGAGGGGGAGCAGGACGGCTCAGCGCAGCTCCCCGGGACCCCCCGCCAGGGGTGGGGGGCCGCCCTCTGCCACTTCTCCCCCCCTGCTTTCTGCTCTGCGGCGGGCGTCGATTTGGCGGAAGTAGGTGGTGACGTAGAGGTTGTCGAAGCAGATGTCCTGGCAGTACCGCTTGGTGTAGGAGAAAGCCCTGACAAGAGGGAGGGGGACAGGGGGGGTGAGGGACTGGCTGAAGCTCCCCAGGACCCCCCCCTTGTCTTCGTGCCCTCCCAGACCTGCTGCTAAAGGAGACCCCCACCCCTCCGTGCCCTGTGGCTGGCACAGGGGTGCCCCTCCCCCCATCCCAGGGCTCACGAGATGAAGACGAGGAGGAAGGTGCAGGAGAGCAGCAGGCGGAAGAAGGAGATGGCTTGGCCCAGGTGGGCGCCATGCTGCCGCAGGTGCGAGGTCACCTCCTCCATCAGCTGCTCCGCCGACACGTTGGCGCCCAGCAGCATCTCGCGGTGTTCCTCCTGCGGCGGAGGGGCTGTGGGGCCAGGCAGGATCCGGTCCCCACCCCAGCCCTGGGTGGAGGGGACAGGCACCCACCTGGAATACAACGCTGGCGCTGAAGTCCTGGCTGAGGTTGCTGACGGAGTTGTTCACCAGGTCGTACATCTGCCCGAAGTTGCCCTCCACGGGGATCTTGTCCCAACACCAGCTGTGCATGACTGTGGGGATGGAGCGGGGACAGTGCTGGCAGAGCTGGGACCCCCAGGCATCGCCCTGGCACAGGCTGCGGCTGCCATTCTGGGGGCTGCAGGGGGCAGAGCTGGAGCCGTCCCACTGAGGGAGGACAGGGCGGGGGTCCCACATGTCACCCACCCTTGACAATGTGGCAGAGGAACTTGAACTTCATGGGCAGGCAGAGGAGGTGGCTGATGAGGGGCACGACCACTTGTGCCATGCAAACCTCGTGCTTGGTGCTGAACCAGTCCCGGCAGCGCTGCATGCCCAGCTCGATCACATCTGGGGGGCAGGGGCCCTCAGCTGCCCGTGCACCCCCAGCCCTGCTGGCCTGGACACCATCCAGGGTGCCCTGTGAGGCCAGCAAAGGGGGCTGCGGCAGCCCCCACCCCTGGCCGGCAGCCACCTGCACCGCGTGCTGCCAGCCTCCTGCCCGCCCCGCTCACAGGTACAGCGCAGTTTGGTCTTCATCTCGTACAGCTGCTGGGTGCTGGGGGCTGGCCGGGGGTCCGGGTGCTGGTGCTGCCGCAGGTCGTACCCCTCCTCACTGGCCACCTCCTCATTCAGCCCCATGAAGGCACGCGAGATGTTCCGCATCTCGGCGCTCAGCGTCCGCCCACTCCGC